AAAAACTAAAACTGGAAATACCTTTGACCTCATAATCTGATTCCTAGGAACTTACCCGAAGAAAACAAGATCCCTGATTCAAAAAGAAATATGCACTCCTATGTTTATCGCAGCACTATTTACAATAGCCAAGGTATGGAAGCAACCTAAGTGTCCATCAGTAGATGAAAGGATAAAGAAGATGTGGTACATATACACAATGGAATATTATTCAGCCATAAGAAGAAAACAAATCCTACCATTTGCAACAACATGGATGGAGGTGGAGAGGTGGTATGCTCAGTGAAATAAGCCAGGCAGAGAAAGACAAGTACTAAATGATTTCACTCATCTGTGGAGTATAACAAAGTAAAACTGAAGGAACAAAACAGCAGCAGTCTCACAGACTCCAAGAAGGGACTAGTGGTTACCAAAGGGATAGACAGAGAAATAAATACCAATTATATTAGGGAGGGTGGGTGGAGAGGGATGGAGAAGGGGATTTGGGGCATTTTAGTTAACACCCACAACATAGGTAAGTCACGTGGAAGGCAGAATAGGACTGAGAAAACAAGTAATGACTCTGTAGCATCTTACTATGCTGATGGACAGTGGTTGCAAAGGTGTGTGGGGCGACTTGATAATATGAGTGAATGCTGAAACCACAATATTGCTCATGTGAAACCTTCCTAAGATTGTATATCAATGATACCTTAATTAAAAAAGAAGAAGAAGAAACTATGCATGTTGGTAAGCAAATTTGCAAATAGTTAGCTTTTGCTCTTGAATAGTAAAAGGGTGGGGTGGGTGGGGAGGACACTCAGAGAAAAGATCAGACCGCAGAATTAGATGAAGAATGAGCTTGCAAAACTGCAGTGGAAGTTAAAGTACATGATCAATAAAATACAATTCAGAAGAGCAAAGAGAAAAGGATACAGTCCTGAAAATATAGTAAAAGACAGTCCAGTCAAGGGTGGAGAAAAATTAAGTGGAAATAAACAAAAAGCTTTACTTTTTTTTTTGGACTAAAATATGAAAGATATAGATATAGACCCAAACAGGAGAAGAAGATACAATGTATCCTTAACTGATACCCATTATTTCAATTATTTTAAGGGTCAGTGAATCTCACAATTGAAAATACACACTTTATCCAAGATACATAGAGAAATAAATGCCAATTGTATTATAGTAAAATTACTGCTGAACTTCATTGAAGCTGAATCCTTTGATATTTGTAGACACTGGAAAAGTCCAATAAATAATAAACAACTGACTGACTGCCCAAAGGATGTTTTTATTTTAAGAGTGTAATTTGACAAAAATGTATGAAAAGAATATGCAAAATTCAAGCTGGTGTCAGACCTCTATGCAGCAGTATCAATAAAGAGAATAGTAAAGCCATCACGAAAAATTCTCAAGAAAAGAAAATGAAACTCAGAAACAAAACCCTACCAGATTATCATTCAAGTATAAAGACAACAAAACTGCATTTTCATTTGCCAGAATTTGGGAAATACAGTTTCCATGAGCCCTTCTTGAAGAAATTCCAAGAAAAATAACTTCAGCCAACCAACAGATGAATATAGAAGCTATGACAAAAGAACTGGTATCAAACTTTGAACCCACGATTAAACTGCAGAATTAAGACTAAAACAAACATGGAAATTATAGTCACAAAACAAACATTAAATATTGTAAATATCAGATAAACAAATGCCATAATGAACAGAAGATGACAGAGAAGGAAGAGAGAAGGCGGGAAAAAATTTAAGTAGGCAGACTACTTGTTATAAAGCATGGGGCCAAAATAGTTTAATAAAGTTAAAAAAAATCACAAAATTGAAGCAAATATATACATCTAAAGGCCAACACTAAGAAATCAATTATCAACTGAAATAACCAAATCTTAAACATTTTCTTACCAGTAATAATCACATTAACAGTTAACATTTTTCAGCAATTATTATACTCTAGGAACTCTAAGCACCTACTATGTATTATATCATTTAAATCTCAAACCCTCATTATGGTTCCCATTTTTGAGGCATTGAGGCCACAAAGCTGAAACTGGCAGAGCCTGGGTTTGAATCCAGGAAATCTGACTCTATAACTCAGGATCTTAACTTACATCCTAAAAATAAACACAAGTGTCTTGCAGCATACACACAAAAGGATACATGCAAACACACACACAACATAACATCACCTTTCAAAACTCTACAACCGCTCTATAGCTTTTACTCTATTTTCCCCCCTTCAAGTGTAAGCTTACTCAAACTAAAGTCACATTTGCTATTCATTTATCACTTATTTAAGGGCTAGTACTTTTCAATCAAAGTGCTTTCACTAAGAACATCAAATCCAGTTTTCAATCCTTATCTTCCTTGATATCTCTAAAGCACGTGGCTGTTGACTTTCCCCCACCCCTTAACTCTCTACTGTCCCTAGGCATCTGTGACTTCACAGTCTCCTGGTGTTTCTCCTCCTCCTGGTTCCTCTTCAGTGTACTGTGTGGTGGCTTTTCCTATCCTTTATAGTTGTTTCTCAGGGTTCACTCTTGAAAATCCTTGGCACACACCATGTCCTCTCTGATCTAATATACACCACCACATGTATTGGTGATAGTAGAGTACCTTTCTCAATCACTCCCATTATAACCTTTTTTTTCAACTACAGAGAAAAATATATATTCAAGTGAGAACTTAGATCCACTTAAATGATCTGAAGGATGCCTAAAACAACTTCCTAAAATTTTTCACAATTCTCTCCCTTCCTCTGAGAAATGTTCACAAATACCCTAGTCACCACAATCTACAGACGTACTCAAAAGCAAAAACAAGCATTCATTCTAGACTCTCCTTTAGCCTCCATATTGGTCAAGTGAGTCCTCTAACTCCTGTGTCACTAACCTATGCTTACACTGATGCTCCTGCATTTATCTTCCTTTCTCTGAAGGGCTCTTTACTGGGTGTGGGGATTCATTTACACCTGGAATTTTGACATCTATTCAAAGGTCTAATCAAAACTCAAGTTTCTACAACAGGAAAATGGAGAGATTAAACTGACCTGATACAGGAGACCTACACGCGCACTACATCCCTGCAGATGAGAATAGAGTCTCTCCATAAGAAACCCAGAACAAGAAGATTTTAATAGAAAGCCAAAAAGTTCCAAGGAAGGGGAAAAACTTAAAGTTTCATAATACTTACTCCATTTCAAAATATTATCTTTCATAGTCCCCAACTTCCTCCCTAGCCTGCTTAAAGTAACTATGAAGAAGAGTCTAATTTACCACCCGGTCTCTAGAGTCCAAAGCTGTCCTGGACAATGACAACTCTTGCCCCCCATAAACCACTACCACCATCTTTAGTCAGATGAGAAACACTTACTGCAATTATTTTTAAAAAGCAATAATTTCAAACAGGTAAGTAACAGTAATTCAGCTGGAGGCTTGTCCCTGCTAGGAGCTCTTCCCAATCCCCATTAATAACAAAGAACTCTTTTAAGATATACACTTACCAAATTAAGATAAAGTAAATCAAAGGACAAATTCTTCAATTAAGAATTTCAAGAAAGTTCCTTGAAACACAGTAATCTGACTCTGTTTCCAAAGTCAGAGTTATCACAGTTATTCTGATTACCCTGTAACCCCTTGTTTTTACTCTGGGCTGCTGCTGGCACCATGTGGATACTGTCCAACAAGCACACTACATTGTAAAATGTCATGGCATTGTCAAAAAACTTGGAAGTGTGGACAGATTTATAATGCTATGACAAATACTATGTCAAAAAAAGTCCAGATAGTTAAAAGAATAGCAGGAAGAACAATTTAGACTGGAAATTTAGATTAGCCTTTTATGAGGAAATGATATTTAAGTGGAGACTTTAAGAGGAATTAGCCAAGGAAAGAAATTGGGGAGATAGAGGGGCTGGACAGTCCCAAAAGAAGAAAAGGCTTAGTATGTTCTAGAGGAACCAGAAAGGATATGGTATGGGTGAAATGTAAGTAAGGGATGGGGGAAATGCCCCAAGATAAGGCTGTAGAGAGACAAAGGCATAGGCCTGCTAAGGAATTTGGATTATGTTTTAAATGCAAAGAGAAAGGCATTGAAGGTTTTTTAAAACAGTGAGTAATATAACCTGAGTTACCTCTTAGAGCTCACCTTCCAATTACGTGAAAAAATAGAAGGCTAAGAAAGAAAGCAGAACATCAACCTGGAGAACTACTGAAAGTAATGAGGTGAGACATGATGGCTTTGAGTACAGTGGTCTTTATTTTAAAAAGAAAAAATGGACACACCTCAAGGTTTTAAACCAAGATAAGTGGTTAGATGAGTATGAACAGCTAAGTCCACCATTTATATTGAATACCAGACACCATGTCATCTTATCTTAAACAAGTAAAACCTGTACACTTGTCTGTCACCCTTTCCGGTATTACACAGTACACATGAATATATAATAAGCATGACTCATGAGAAATTAAATATTTACTCCAAGGGTTGTTTTGGGGTTTTTTTCCCCACAAATTTTAATAACAACAGTGACTCTACCATCCAAATCATTTTTTACAAGGGTAATATTACACACACGCACATACACACACACAAAACAACAAAGGTTCCCAGGTTCTTTGAGTGGTGCTTTCATCAGTCACAAAAACATTTCATATGTACTTTCCATAAATCACTTGACCTTGCCCTTGATACTTCCAACCAGAACAAAACAAGGTAAACTTAGGTGCCTACCAACTGTAAAGTCATATAAATTACGTTATTTAAACAATTTGCTTTTGTCAAAACATGAGATGACTCAGACACTTGAATAAACTAAGTATATTGACTAGTATGGATAAATGAAATAGCTTCTGAAGGCATTCTAGAACTTCTAAGCGTGACTATGTGCTTTGGGATATAAAGGATGGCAGCAAATGATAATTCACTGCTCTAGCAGAAGCCTTGCTTGGTGAACTTCTAATCACTGCTCCCAAATATGCCAATAATCAAAAATACACTTACCCTCTTTAAAGCATCCTGGATCACACCAGACTTCTCCTTTAGCAGCTCTACAACACAAAGGGCCTCATCTTCAGAAAATATCATAGTCTTCAAGGACATAAGAAAATCTTTAAATTTTACTTCAGCATTTTCTTTGAAAAAAAAAAGGTAGGGAGAGGGAGAAATTGGCATTTAAAAGATAAGAAGTAATAATTTCAGCAAAGGTAAGCATCAAGAATTCTTGACCAAGGAAAATAATAACCAAGAGAAAATAGATTTACATTTCAGGTCAAAAAAACAGTAAGTGCTCCAGTTAAGAGAGAAAAAATTATTTGTCATTCTAAATACACTATGGATAGGTACATTAACTAAGAATTTGCTCAAACTGAAGAATACTAAAGTGCCAGTATGCCCTTATTTTAAAAACAAAAAAAATAATTCAAATGTTTAGTATACGCTAGTATCTGTACTAGGCATATTCACAAATATTCTTTTAATCTTAAAACTCATAACATATAAACCAAATTTTACAGATGAGAAAATAAGCTGGAAGATAATTATAAAAGGAAATCTGACTTTAAGAATATCAAATAATACCAGCAATCCTAACATTTAAGAAATCCATACACCAAACACCGCCTTAGTCAACTCACCCACCTCAATTCCCCTGGGGCTCTTATATTAGATACAATTTCCTTTTCTTAAAAAGCAACTGCCATCCATTAGACTCAAAGGAACCCAAGGCCTTTACTGCTTTAGCTGTTAAGTTTAAAAAGGCAATTGTGTGCATGTTTGGGACAAGGGGTGTATGGAACTCTCTGTATTTTCCACTCAATTTTGCTGTGCTCCTAAAACTGCTCTAAAAGTCTATAAGAAAACAATAATATAATGCAGTTATGAATTAGCACAGAAACCTCAGAGACAAGAGAAGGGGAAAAAATGATCAGAGAACAAAATAGCTATAAGATATTGGGCAAATTCTAGTGTCCAACTCTACAAACTACGACTAGACTAAAAAACTACCAATAAATCTTTTACCACAAGGATTCTATTAGTCTTTTGCAATTTTATGAGAAAACGTACACAACTCCATCATCACTCAAAAATGTGTTTTTTCAACAAACTGTCACATTCTGTACCTTTCTCAGTTTCAGTCTTCAGTTTTTTAACCCCTGTTTTGCGGATTCCTTCTCCTTGGTCAGGTTTAATCACATCAAAAATCCCTCTATTATCCACCACAGGATTTGAGTCAGCATTATCCATCAAAGGAATATAAGTAGCTGCATGAATAAGAGGTTCATCTACAAAGACTGCAATTTAAGTTGAACAAAATCATAATTACTCAGGGTTTCTTATAACACAGTAATAAATAACATGTAAGCACACTTAAGTTTAAAGATAAATGCAGTTATTTTCAAATCTCTAATACCAGCTAAATTTGGCTTTCAATTCCTACTTTATCATTTAAACACTCTTCTAATAAAGCAGTACAGTACAGTATTATTTTGCACTAAGATAAAAAGTGTGTAGCATATCTTCTGTAATAGCACCTGAAAATTTTTTATGTATGTTTTACATTTCAGTTCTCATTTTCTCTCCTGTTTTAACTAAGAATCCATTCACATTAATTAGTGCTCAAGGAAAACTCTTAATTTGTTGATACTTAACTCAATTGTTATTGCAATTGATCATTTTTAACTGAGTTCCTTCCACTTGCTAGGTACAAAAATCAATCATTGTTTCTTGCAGGTTATCTTCTCATTTCTAACAGTTATACCTCTCATTTCCATGGCACATCTTACTATACTGCTTAAAACTTCCAGAACAACATTGAAAGTAGAGAAAGGAAGCCTCCTTACTTTGTCCTAATTGTAATGAGAAGAACTCTTATAAGAGTCTGAACATTAAAATCTGAAGTCTGTTAGAGACACAAATTTCCACACCCATAGGGAAATCTCCCTATATTCCCACCTTTTAAAAAAATTTTTAGGCATGCATAGTTTTTTCATTTAAAGTTTATAAGAAATATTTAATCTTAAATATTTCACAGTAAATATTTTTCTATTCCTAGTTGCTTGATACATCATAATTTAATACAAATAATAGAATTTCATCTTTCCCTTTCCAATTTTACTATTTTCTACCACTTGTTGATACCACAACCCAATATTATTTGAAAATCATTGCCTACTCTACATGATTTCAGAGCTAAGTTTTCCCTGGACAATTCTGAACACAGAAAAATTTCTCCATCACTTAACTGGATGCTTCCCATATATGCATGTAAATTATGTTCAGGAAGTATTGGGAATGTAGGGTACTGACAGATCTAGCTACCATTCTTGAGCATAATCTTTAAGTGACATTAAAAAGTACAAGTATTTCAAAATACTTTTTTCTTGTACAGAGTTTATATGATATGTACATTACTGTCAAAACTCAGTTAAGAATATGAGTATTTACAAATGCTTTGTCCTTTTTAAATTTCAGATAAACTTGATCACAAACTTATACTCTGCCCATCCATCAAAGCACTACAAAGCCACAAGCCTAAAGAGAACCTGAACTTGTATAAGTATTACAGTTACTGGGGTACACATTGAGCTGAGAATTAAAGAGCATGTGAGGTCTCCAGGGTCCTTGCCCTCATGTACTTCTCGAGAATCGGTATTTAAAAAATACGTATTGACACATTCACCATTTTCTGTCTTTTGCTTCTTTGATGAAACTTTCTTCTTTCCCGATCCACTTTCTTGTTTAGTCTCTTGACGGAGGGGTAATGATTCTTGCTTTTTTGAAGGTGCCATAGGAGTTTCCACCTTTTTATCCTGATCATCTTTATTAAAAATAAGTGAAATATCATCATAGCAAACAATGAACACACTAGAAAAGATTTAAATATTAATGAATAATTTCCAGAGTGCTTTACCACCAAAATTTTAAACTCTGATATATAGTTCTAGTAATTTATCATTTTAATTCTACTATACTTGCTCTTTAACTTTATCAAGATTTCTAATACTTGTTCATTCTTTTATATCCCGTTTCTCAGCTACCCCTAGCTATACTCAGCCTATAGGCATAGTCAAATCTCTTAACATCTGAAAAATAAAACCCTTCCCACCACTAATTCCTAGCCTCCCACACCTTTTCCTTCTTACATCAACAAAAGAACAGTCTGAACTTCCTTTTCGTCCAATCATTTCTCAACTAACTGCAACCTCATTTTTATCTCTTCCATTATATCCACAAAGGATTCACTCCCTAGGGCCCCAAATGCCAATAATATCCTTTAATCCTTATTTGACTTCTATTTAGCACTTCATAATATTGGTCTCTACCTCCTTAAAATTCTCTCTTCTCTACTCTGTAAATGAAGCCAGTCCCCACAGGACAAATACTGTATGATTTCACATATATGAAGTACCTAGAGTAGTCAAATTCAGAGACAGAAAGTAGAATGCTGGTTGCCAGAGATTGGGCCAGGAAAGAGGAATGGAGAATTAGCATTTAATGGGTAAAGAATTTAAGTGGGAGGAGATGATAAAGTTCTTGAGTTGACAGGTGGAGATGAGTGTGAACTTAATGCCACAGAACTACACACCCATAAATGGCTAAAATGGTAAATTTTATGTTGTTGCATATTTCACCATAATAAAATATAACTTTTAATTCTCTCATATTGGCTCTCATAATAATTCTTATCTTACACTTGAAATTTTCCTTTGCAGTCTTCCTTGTAAGCTACTCCTACTGAATACATTATATGTTGGTACTACTCAGGGTTGTGTGTTCAATTTAAATACTTCCCTTGGATGATCTACCTGCACCCATGATTTCAACTACTACCTTCATGTGTAAGGCTTCTAAATCCTTAATTCTAGCTTTATACTTCCATATTTATGAATCATACTGCATCCTGAATTTCTCCCTATGTAAATGGCCTCCATAGGCACCCAAAACACAAACTGAAAGCATTCTCCTCTCCATAGACATCCACTCTCTCTCTCTACTGCTTACATTAGTGCTACCAACAAACCTACTATTCAGGGGTTGGCAAACTTTTTCTGTAAAGTGCCAAATAGAAAATACTTTAGGCTTTATGAGCCACACAGACTGTCAAAATTATTCATCTGCTGTTGCAGTGTGAAAGCCAGTCACAGGTATATATTAAAAAGTGAGTGTGGCTACATTCAAAAACACTTTACTTACGGATGTAGAGGTTTGAATTTCACATAATTTCCACATTCAACAAAATATCACTCTTAATTTTTTTCAAATCATTCTTAGCTCACAGGCCATAAAAAACAGGAACTGGCCAGACTTGGCTCACAGGTTATAGTTTGCCAACTCTGACCACAAAACTTGGGAAAACTGGCTTTCACAGTGCCTTCTCCTTTATCTGCCATACCCTATCCAGTTAGTTTAGTCATGTCATTTCTACTTTGCAGACCTTTCTGACTTTCTATTTCTTCTATCATTACCATAGTTCAGTCCTCCAATTTATGAAAACAAACTCTTAACTAGTCTGCCTACATCAAATACTGTCCCATCAAATTTGTCTTCCCAAGTTCTGCCAAAGATATATTTCTAAAATATAAATCTAACCATGTAAATTAACCTGCTTGAAAATCTTTAACAATGGATAAACTACAACATCCCAGCTCCTTAGCACTGTATACAAAACCATTACGATCTAGCCACATTATTTTTTCAGCTTTGTTTCTTACCACTGACCACCTCACATTTCATGGTTCAGCAGTACACTATATTCTTATACTTTTATGCCTCATATGATAGTCTGCCAGTATGGAATGACACCCCACTATTTGGTAAGTTGATTCATTCTAAGACCCAACTCAGGCACTGCCTCCTCTGTAAAACATTTCACCCCTGGGTGCCCCTAAGGAGTAGTTGTTTGGGCTTCTGTGCTTCTTCCACAACCCATACCTCTCTTCGTAAGCCACATTCTATTACTGGCTTAGATGTCCTTCTCTCCCACTAAAATGTATGGTTGCTTACGCTTATTTCTTTAGTACCATGCCATGCACGACCATAGCTGGCAAACAAATACTTAAAATCCAATATACCTGATATAACAAATTATACAAGATACAAAAACAACCTAATGGTACACATAAGTCCTATCATAAAGAGACAAACTGTTTGCAGTTTCAAACATCACCACATCATTTCTCATGTCTTTTCCATTGCACCTGTTAACTCCTCTCCTTGGAATATTCTAGCCCACCCATCCCAGCCACCCAAAAAAACTAGATAGTACGTAATTCAACCTTTAAGATTTCACACATTACATGCTCTAAGTGGCCCACCTTAGAACTCCTACACAGTTTAAAAATATCTAGATCATTATACTCAACTTTTTATATTATAACCTATTTATGTTTGTATCTACGTTAGCATGTGACTACCCTGAAACTGCACTATTCAACCTGTGATTCTAGTACCTAGTATAATGCCCAGTATAAAGCACATATATGACAAATGTTTGCAAAATGAATTGATGAAGAGTAAAAAATTATACCTGATTTATCTTCTTATCTTAAATTCCTATCACACTGATTTAAAAGTACTGGTTGAAATGAATGTAAGTTTCTAACTATTAACATTTGCAGAACCTGAGTGCTTTCAGTAAAACAGTAGATTGTAGTTATTTCCACTAAAGGTCTTTTCAATGTTTATAAAATGAAATTTAATTTTAAATGCTGGTTTATGATCACTAATTGTATCTATCAATGATTATTGTTAATGAAAGAAAACATACAGTGAAAGGGATAATGGTTTGGTTTTAGACTATTTAACATTTTGTGTGCACTCCTAACAAATATTTGAATTTCAAGCTCTAAGTTATTAAAACAAAAACAATCATGCAATAAAGTTGAATAGATTACAATACCAATTCCATTTTTAGACTTCCTCTGCCCTGGTTTCTTCTTTGATGCAGCTGCTTCAGAGGGAGGGGTGGGCTGTTTAGTAACTGGGACAGATTCTACTTTTTTGCCTGGAATCTTTGACATATCACTTTCTTTGGTGACCTGTTCTTCTAACACAGGCTTCTGTTTCTTTTCCTTCTTCTTTCTTTCTCTAATGCTACTTGAAGTTTCAACCACATTCAGTGGAACAGGTACAACTTGCTCATCTTCCACAGCCAAGGCATCAGATAATTTAAAGTCCTGGGGAACATTCTCAGAATCAGATTCATGGAGGTTCCCATTCTGAATTTCTTTCTTTTTATTCTTTTTCTTTTCTGCCTTCTTTTTATCTGTTTTGGTAGGAATAAGCTTTTGTTCTCGTTTCTGTTTTGCAAGAACTTCATCATATAATGTTTCTTTCATGAAAAGCCAGAAGAAGAGGAAAATTACTGTAATAACTACTGAAGGAATAAGGACAATAAAATATGTTGATTCATAAAACTCCATGGTGCTTTTGTAAAATGTGATCCTAAAAAACCTAAATGTGAAAGAAAAAAAAACAGAAACAAAACTTAGGTCAGTCTCATAAAAATTAAACACATTGGCAAAACTAGACAGCTACATGTAAGAGAATGAAACTGGACCACTGTCTAACCCCATACACAAAAGTAGATTCGAAATGGATCAAAGACCTGAATGTAAGTCATGAAACCATAAAACTCTTAGAAAAAAACATAGGCAAAAATCTCTTGGACATAAACTTGAGTGACTTCTTCATGAACATATCTCCCCAGGCAAGGGAAACAAAAGCAAATATGAACAGCTGGGACTCTATCAGGCTGAAAAGCTTCTGTACAGCAAAGGATACCATCAATAGAACAAAAAGGTACCCTACAATATGGGAGAATATATTCGTCAATGACAGATCCGATAAAGGGTTGACATACAAAAGGGAGGGATGGGGGGGGGGAGAAAGGGGGCATTACGATTAGCATGTATAATGTGGGGGGAGGCATGGGGAGGGCTGTGCAACACAGAAAAGACAAGTAGTGATTCTACAGCATCTTACCATGCTGAAGGACAGTGACTATAATGGGGGTTGTGGGGGGGACTTGGTGAAGGGGGAAACCTAGTAAACATAATGTTTTTCATGTAATGTAGATTAATGATACCAAAATTTTAAAAATTAAAAAATTAAAATTAAACACAAAACCTTTGGCTCTTTCAAGTGGTATTTCAAATCTAACCTGATCTACAAATCTAAGCACAATGGCTGTTTAAATCACATACTTGATTACTTTCATTTGGCATTAAAATAACTTACAAATTAGATGCTTTTCTCACAAAAACAAAGCTGACCATTACTTTCCTTCCCAAATACTTAAAGACACTTTTCCTCATCAACAGAATATCAGCCCTACATTTAGATTACTCCAATAGCTACAGAAAGTAAAGTGAGATCTGACTACCCATATCTGCCTTGAATGGACATTATGTCCTCATCTGAAGGACAGTTTCAGCTAAAACTGAAACTTAAAGTAAGAATGATTCTGATATTTCAATATGGATATTGATATTCCTATAACTGTGTATAAGCCATACACAAGTGGCTTGTATTCTTATAACTCATGACAAATTTGTGGTACAAAAAGGCACGGTGTGTACAATAGATGAAATTAAAGCCCAGGATGTGCTGAAGATAAAGTCAACCTCTGTGCTTTTAATGTACAAATAAATCTGAGAATTTAGAAGCTTTTGAATATTGGTCTGAAGTCTTAAAAACATGATTAGAGAAACCAAATTCCATTTAACAGAGGAATCATTACTCTAAGAATTATCTCAGACCTTAGAAACATCTGCTTTAAAGTTGGATAAATCTGAGTTTATAGAATGTATCTTCACAAGAACCATTTTAAAAGGACTCATGATTTCCAAGACAAAATAAGCTATATTCATAGTAGTCTGTCAATTACCAAGATAAACAGACCTAGGATCTTATATTAACATAATAAACATAAGCTTATTAAATTTAACCTTGTTTTTCAACTAATTTCTATCTCATTTAAAGATGAAGAATATACTTTATGTTACACCAGCAAGGACATAAGTATGAAAATAGCCAGAAGTGGAACCTGAGAACAAAAACTGTTTATCAAGTACAATATTAACCTTTCTATCTAAAACACCATTTTGTTAACATTCACACTTCCGTAAGCAATTTTTAAACAGTATTAAACCCTGGAATTGCAAAGACAAGATTTTAACAAGTTGAACAAGATTTTTATCATGTTCTAACAAAATACTAAAAGGAACTTCATACAGAATTGTTTTTCCCTGATATTCATGAATTATCCAGGTTCTTAATTGAAAGGAACATATTTTACTGTGTCTAAGTGTTATTGGTAAACAAGGAATACTTTTAAAAAGTAGAGGCCATGTTTTGTTTTGTTTTTATGTTTGTTTTAATGTTACATCCACAGGCTACACGGCCTGTTCAACATGGTAGGGGAGCTGGGAAGAAAAAGGACAATGAGTAAGAACATTATGGATTTTTGCTCTGGGGAAGAAAAGAGACTTAAGGCAATTAAAAGCAGCCATGAAGCTGAATAAAGGTCAAGTCAAAGTCAGAAAAGCCTTGAACAGCATGCTGGACTCATAAGCAGCCTAGGGCTGTGGAAAGCAAAGTCTATGACTAAGCAAAGTAAGAAGCAAATATTCAGGAGAAGAAAGGCCATGAGACTGAGAATACTGAGATTCCTCAAATGTTCTGCTGATCTCCTAATTCCCTTCTCCAGGTCCAATAAAAGCCAGGAAGAATCATAATTCCCATCTTTGGGTTTTCATGACATTCCCTTCACACAATCCAATTAATTCCCCTTCACTTGAACTATCTTTTACATCTAGAAGAGCCTAGTCAGAACTCCAAGACAAATTTAAAGTCAGGAAAATGTTTGCATTCCTTTAATCTAATAACCCTGACTCTTTATCCCAAGAAATTTGCAAGGAAAAGTATATAAAGATGTTAATAGCAACAATACATGTAATATGAAAAACTGAAACATAAAATAGCTAACAACAGAATGGGTTAAATTACAAAATAGCAAGTAAGCAGAAAAAGATGGCAGCGTGTGAAGTGAGGTAGAAACATCCTTCAAAACCACATGTAACACAAAAATACAGCAAATACAACAAATCCTGAAAGAGCAACCTGAAGACTGCTACAGACCTACATCTGGGGAAAAGAGACCACAAAGAAAAGGGTAAAGTAGCAAAGCAGAGATCCAGGGGAATCCAGCACTCCCCCAACCCCAGCTCACAGGCAGGAGGAAGAGAAATGCAGCAGGGAGGAAGTAGGAGCCCAGGACTGCTAAACACCCAGCCCTGGAGATCTGCTCCAGAAGTACGAACCCACATTACATAGTGCTCTGGAGATTAGAGGGGTTAGAAAGCAAAGACAGGCAGAATACGCAGAGAGACTGAGATTCCAGCCACATGAGAAGAACAGGTACTGACAACCGGCCACTCTGGGACAAAAGAAAGTCAGACACATTGAAAGACTTCCCAAAAGTGAGAGGGGTGCTAAAGGGGCAAGGATTACACAAAGCTTGTTGCTCAGGAGAAA